TAATAATAATAATTAATATAATAATTATGATTAATAGATTCTTACAGAAATCACATGATCACAATTAATACTACATTCGCGCTCGAATAAATAATGGCACGGCGTAACTCTTTTATCCAGTTATAGAAATTGGAAAATATAAAGATAATCTTTTCAAAACTTATGTAATGAGAAAATGATCTGTAACGAAAGATATTTATGTAACGAGAAAATCTTAAATATAAAGATCTTTTGAAAAATCATCCGTGTAATAATAACAAAAAGTTAAAGGTATTTGAAAAAATATGGCATTTAATAATCGAATATAATAATCAAAATGCTTTAAAATGCAATCGTGAATTATTTTAGACAAAAGAGTAGACGATAACTCGCAATTTGTGCAAAGCATGCTTCAAATGTGAAATTTACTAAATTTTTTGTCAATAATATTAAAAGGGAATTTTATTTAAAAACGCGAAGAATTTTATCTCAAAAGCATGCAATCATTGAATAAAAAATGCTGTTATAAAAAATCTATTATTAAAGTTTACACGCTGTTTGCACAAACAGTTTTTTTCTTCTATGATTGTCTTCATAATTGAAGTACATTCTTTCACGAGATAAAACTCTTTAAGACTAAAGTCGCGAAATTCTAGGAATAAGAATCGGAGGCGTGCCGGCATATAAATTCAGCGCATTCGCCTCTATTACGAGAAGTATATATATGCATCGGTTATCTTTGTAAGAAAAATATCAAGTATAAAAAATATACTATAATTACGAGAGATTATATACCGCCGGATCTAATATTTATAAATATGATTTACTTAGTTGTCACTATAGTGACTCATGACTATAACAGCTATGTAGAATTTTATGCAAGAAATAGCACATAAACGCAATAGAAAAATTTTCAAATTCATGTCAATATTATATGTATAATATTATACACACATATATGTGTATGAGGAATATATAAGAAATATTAATTGTGTAAAAATGTTCGCATTATAATAACATATTGATAAACCAGATTTAAGAATCATCATTTCTATCACAGCTCTATCGCAGCAAAAATATTGTTTAAACCATTTCTAGACAAAACGATTGTTATACAACATCTTTTGTTCTAATTTCATGATTGGCTCTTATCATATGATAGTACTATATATATATATATATATCCTATCTCACAACACGCATAAATATTAGATTAAATATAAAAGGATGTTCTACCATAAAAGTTCTTCTTACAAAACATACAATGTATTATCTTATTTTAATTGCATCAATGGTACTAATCAGTTCCAATAACTTATATTTAAAATGACGATGCCAAAATATAGTATGCTGTATTAAAAATTGGGATAGAGCTGCGAGACATTGTATAAAAAATCGTTTAGTTTGTCTAATTTGGTTTATATAATATTAATTTTTAACAAAAAACTCACCGTTTATGCAGTCCAAACCTTTCATTTCTTCATTTTATCATGCGTTACCACTTGATCCTTCCAGATTCTTTCAGCAATTACTATAAAAAAGAACAAAATATAATTAAAATGTTGCATTTTCCTATGTTTATGATGTTTTCTTTCCTTCTTATTTTAAACCATCAATTATATTCGTTTTCAATATAATATGACTATTGGTACAAGTGTATCATTATAACATATAAATTTATAATATTTATAATCTATTATGTAGTTATTACAAGCACGTATAGATAATTAAATAATAATTGTAAAATAAGGAAAAATAAAATTGTAAATACAAATTAAAAGGAACATAGAAAGATATTTTATTTTGATGATAAAATTTAAGAATATTAGTGATAAGATGTTTTATTCTGTATCTTATTATTTATCTTTAATTTTTATAATACTATATATATCACTTGTACGTAACTGAAAGCTTTAATTTGATATTTTATTATATTTCAAATTTATAAAGACAGTATTCCTTTAAATTGATTACTGTTTATTACATATTATATATATTATTTATTTTCTAATCATCATTATATATATATACAAAGATGGAAATATATACGTACTGATGATAATGAAATTTCTTTAATTAACTATAAAACGAAACTTACCGATAATTCGGTAAATTCGATAGAAATTTAATTGTGGATGTAGATTTAACCGCACCTGTAAAAAATCACGAAATAAATTAATACAGGCGGATTAGATTAATATCGAGAATGATATCAATTGATGAATATTATGTACCTTGTATTGTGGGTGGCGATGATTGCACAGCGTTCCATGATATTCACTGCACTTAGGATTAATCGAGCTAAATTTTACTAATTTTAGCGTTAATCGACAGGCAACGACGACAAATAATACAAAACACAACACTCCCGTAATTCACGCACTCGCGACTTCCGATATTTCATCGCGTATACGCGAGATGCGCGCGATATCGATGAATAAAATACGCGGAAAATGGATCGACGAGTAAACGGGCGCGGACCGTTAGAGAAATTGGCGATTCGAAAAATTATCTGCAGCTACGTCACTTTTCAACATCACGTGATATGCGCGTAATTAATATGGCGGGGGCGAATTGTACGTATATATGTGCATACTTCACACCACTCGTTGCACTTGTTAATCGAACTGGATTTTTCACTAATTTTAGCAATAATACGAGCCGAAAATGACAATGACATACATACAAGCAATACGATAATCCCGCGTAATTTATTCGTCGCACCCGATATATTGTCGCAAACTCGCGAGACGCGATGTCACGAGACACAGATCGACGAGAAAAAGAGCACGGCACGTTAACGCATTCGCGGCAATATCACTCCAAATATCATAGTAATGAGTATGACGTAGGATACATATATGCAACTTCATACCGGCGTTTAAGGTTATCGAATCAGACTTCATTGATTTTGGCATCGAGACGAACTGCGACGTCAGTATACGATACGAAATATGACAATTCTCGGTGACATCTCACACGGGGCTCTCGATATACCCGATATATATTATCACGATCGGCGCGAGATACCGGTACGGTAAATGCGTACAAAGCTGCTCGACAAGCGCGGGACTCGCGACGATGTAACTTTTCGAATGTCACGTGACATGCGCGTAACCAACATGGCGGAATTGCCTATTGTGGCAACTTTTTGAAACTATTTTATTATTATTTAAATTAAAATATTATTTTTATTATTTAAATTATTATTAATACTTTATTATTAATTTTATTATTTGTTTCACTTGGCGATCGCGATGCTCGTGGGATCATTTCCTCTTTCGTTGTTCGTCGATAATTGAACAAAGACAGATAATGCTCGCGAGAATTGTGATCGCCAAGTGAAACGTAATTTTGTGCATACTTTGATGCACGTGTCGTTATCTGCAGGACAAATGACGAAATGTTAAGATTATATTCAGTTTACCCGCAGAACATTTTTGCTATTTACCGACAGTATCGGCCAATCGATCGGTTCGAATCATGAGGGGAGGGAGGTTTCGAATACCGCGACTCAAGTCCACTTTGACAGTCCGGCGTATTGTAAATTGTTTTGATTTATAGTGCGGACACGTCGCAAGCACGGATCACGTTTCGGCGGACGACACTGTTTCCGAAACTTTTTATTTTAGGTATCACGATTATACACGTGCGAAATGATTGACAATTTAGCAGCGAGATCGATAATAAAGCGTCATACTTGGATAAGAGCTTTCGTTAACGTTTAACCTTACTCGGTTTTATCAACATAATTGTCGTGCGATAAAATGATTTCATAACCTTTTTTTTTACGATGTATAATATATGTAAGTAAAAAATATCTACGTAATGATAATGATAACACCTTCGTATCTCTCCCGGTTTGTCACGTTTATCACGTTCGTGGCCTTGTCACGTTTTCACGTATGTCATATATGACACGTTTGATGGCCAGAAAATATTAAGTTACAGAATAGCTCGTGTTGTTCTAGTTCCAAAGGAGAAATTAATTTAAGACGATGTTCGAGTGGGCATACGATGGTATAAACAGCTCCATACCACGCAACGTCGGTCCAGAATGCGCAAATTACCTGTCTCTGAAGCGAAGGATAATAGAAACACTATTTATATCTGTATTTATCATATCCTGCATCGTATGGGGCCTCAAACATGTAACGTTGCCAAAGAAAGTAGCCTATGTCAATCAGGACTGTGTGGGCAGAAGAGTCTTGCTAATTATAATGTCACTAGTCCTAGGAATGGAGATTGGTTTTAAGTTTACTAGCAGAACCGTTATATATTTGTTAAATCCGTGTCATATTACAACGGCGCTACAGGTAAGCTTGATTTACTGTTTTAATTTGAGCATTAAAATAATTTGGTATTCCCTACTGGATGTTGAATTAAATTTTTTTGCTAACACATCTCTTTTGTTGCGATATAGCTGTATCTGCTGGCTGCGGATCCTAGCCCAACAGTCACAGCTATCTTCAGGATACATTTGAATCTGTTGAATGGACCAGTATTGGCATATCTGTTTCCAGAAACAGAATCTAGAATTGTAAGTTATAGCATATTAGCATCAAGCAAAATGCATTTTTGAATAATACAAATGTATGTTTTTTTTCTTTTTTTTAGATATTTGCAGACAAATCAATGTATTATATTCAACATGGTTTGATGCTAGTAATACCATATTACTTGTTAAGGATTGGAGGTAATTTATCTATATTTAAATACAACAGCAATTGAGTCTATGCCTATCAATTCGTAGTCATCTATTTATATCAAATTTCATTTTTCTGCTATTTTAAAAGCAGCAATTTTAAACATTACATTTACTGTTTTGATTATATACTAGGTGTATATAACATTGAGCCTTTCTCCGATATGAGCTGGTCAATCCTCAGTTTTGGCCTCAATGCAGGATATCACTTTTGGATTCTTCAAAGTGTTGCCTTGGTTTGTATATCAAACTTCTTACTTGAATATTATAGATTTAAAAATCTTTTTTGGAATATAATTTTTTTTTGCGTAGCCTGTACAGGTGAATCTTAGTCACATGTTATGCGCAGCTGTTTTGGATCCATTTGAAGGTCAAAATTATCGAATATGGGCAGTAACTCATCAATCAATATTATGTCCCATACTATCTAAACTGTTTAGTTATGGATCCAATTTTTTCTTAACCAAATTTCCACCAACTAGGGTTAAGCCAACATTAGAATGCACAATTCCAAATAAGAATTGTACACATGAACAAAACGAGAAGTTACATGAAGACTCTAATACCTCAGGAAACGGCCATACACATTTTGATTAATTTGATGGCGGGTATTGTTATATCAAGGGTATATGACACTTCATCTTGATCGAGTAAGTATTATATATATATATATATATTTTTTTTTTTTTTCTTGTGATATTTTAAATATGATATGAGAATCTTTATAATTTTGTGATATCTTCTTATATTACAATACGCATTTGCATTATTAATCGTGCCGATATTAGTTCTTATCTTATATAAGAAGATACATGGGAATATTAGATTTTTTTTCCTTGCAGACTAACGCATTTAATTATATCTGTTATACCATCTTTAAACATCATCTATAGGAAAGTCGACAAAAAAGGGGGAAAATTAAACTTTATAAGTTTAACTTTTTATTATACACTAAACACATAACGCGATGATTAATATATTCCCATTATATATTTTTTTTTATTGAATATAAAGAGAAAACTTAATACAGAAAAAATACTAAGATAACTTGATACAATTGTTGATCGTATTGGTTTTAATTCATTAGTCCACCAGATACTGATTGATAAATAGTCAATTTGAAATATAAATTTCTGTCCAAATGCTTATCATGCCTAGTGCTGTGCATAGATTAAGAATCTCAGAGATAGTGTGAGGCTTAAGCTGACGTCCAGTAACAAGAATAATCATACATAGACAATTTTAAAAATATAATTACACTATATATCTTTTACTAGATAAAAATGCATTATAAATGAACCATTTCACGCATTTTTATATTCATTTTTGCTGTGTGAAATAAGAATGGAAATATTCAAATAACGAAACTGCAATATTGTACCTACATATTATATATAACAGGTAGGCAAAAGTTTGAGATTTTATGGTGAATCTTCTTAGTAACATGATCCGAGATGCGTTAAGATAGCCCAACGTCTGCTCTAAAAACACATGACTATAATAACTAAACAGAAAAAAATTTATTTATTAATAATTAACATTACATTAGTGTGTTGTATTACTAATATTATATTAATCATTATTTAAAGAATGTAATATTAATTTTTATTTTTGCTTCTTTTTTTCAATCTTATTGTGGTTTCTGCAAGTATTTTTAAAAATTATTATGATTTTAATTGTATTTTAGACAAATATTGTTTAAATACGTTCTCTAAACTATAAAAAATTTTGAATGATTGTTATTGAGCATGAAGGTTTATAACTAATACTGCCTATACTAAGGAAGACAAATCGTGAAATCTCCTGAACTTTCGCAGTTTAAAAATATATATAATGTAGTCATATAAATATTTTGGCAACAGAAATTGTGTTTTAGGTTTGATTAATAATAATCTAGAAGCTCCATAAAGAGCTGACAAAACAATTTGTGTGGCGCATATTCAATGCTTTTATTTTAATAAATCCATGATTCTATTTGCAAAACTGGTCATGTATATAAAAATATTTTTATATGACAGTTCCTACGATTTAATCCTTTACTATACGTGTTCTCGTATGTAGAAATATATTCGCACTAATGTAACATAGCGAGAAAATTTTAGAGAGTGTGCTTTTTACAGTATGTATGGCACAATATGCAGTAAAGAAAGTAGGAATAAAGTACAGATATAAAATAAAGATATATAGTTAACACGACTTCGTATTAAAATACTATACACGTGCAAATTATAAATTAATCCTTTAAACTAAACAGAAATTGAAACTATTTTGAATAATGCTTTTACATACACATGTAAATGTGGAATATATATTATCTATATTTTATATGCTTTCAAATAAAACATCTTTCATATATGAAATGATGTTTGTATAACAGTCAGTTTTGAAAACATTGCCGCAGATATGGAAACGGCCTATGTTACTCGTGTAGAATTAGATGAAAATGCATAAAGTTCCATAATTTCAGTAAGCTGCCATTAAAGAAATAACCTTATTTTTCGACGAGCGTAGCTTGATATAGTACAGAATTTATGTTACGGTATTAAAAATGATACTGATAACAATAATGTTAGCAACGCCATAGTATTACTTATGATATGAAAATAATTAACATGGCGATCTTGTAATTTGAATATAAGCATTTGATTATATAGAAATCTTTTTAGGATACAGCATAATAAAATATATCACAAGTAATATTAATCTTTGAACTAAAGAGAGAACCATAATTCTTGCACGAGAATGTTCCAATTCTTGCATTGGACATGTATACTAGTATCTCGCAAATTAAACTATAACAGTAAGATTATTTTTGAGACATGGTATTATATAAAAGAGTATTCTCTTATATTAATTTTTTTTGTATTTTGTATTGAAATTGTTTATATATGTGAATAGTTGTTTCAAAGAAAAGATTGTCATTGTGAACGTATTAATATTTAGATTAATGCAATTGATTAGTAGATTGCAAATATTTTAAGTGGGAGAATTTGTGCATCTAAATTATATCTAATTTCCAAAAAGCAATATAATGTACTATTATTATTTAATAGTATTTTTTATTTATTAATCAAAAGCTAGTGGAGTAACACACTTTTTATATAATTGCTATATGACAATGCAAAGATATATGTATTGTAGATAGCATACAAAAAGGATTATCTTCAAAAATTTTATATTGCAAAATATAATATTACCCAATGCTTGTGAAATCCATTATTATAATGATAGAAAAAAATTTGCATACATGAAAAAGAAGTATATATAAAGCTGGAATGAAGATAATTAACTAGTTCATATATTTACATAAATAAATATATTTTATTAACATTCCATTTTTTATGGAATTTTGTATTTAATTAATGATATATATTTCAAACTTAATTTTTCGTTTGACTTATATATTTCTCCAATATGTAAGTTTACCTAATTATAGACTGTATTAAAATGAATTGTATTTTTTGTGAGAAAAATTCTCTTTGCACACGCTTATTAGAATATATCTCATTTGTGTATAGCTTCTCTTAATACAATTATTGTATTAAATAAGTATAATAGGGAATTAAATTAAGGAAAAGTTATATAATGTAAAAAATATATAGTATAATCAGGTATTTCGTACCAAAAGTTTAATTCCTTAGATAAGATGAATCACATAGATATATGATATGTCGCCAATGATAATTCTATTAGATATTACTACTTAGAAGTCAAAAAATGTGATTGTGTATTCTTTTAGAGTTTCTAATGCGTTTGATATGATGGCAATATTCTTTTAAGAGTCAAGCAATATTTTCCTAATGCGCGATAAAACAAGTTTGCAGTTTCGTTGTTTGTATAGTTTGTATTATTTTAAGAATAATTCCATGCATATAACAATAACAAGATATGTAATATGCAGCGCGCACACATATATGCACAGAATATCCCATATAAGCAGTCATTTTCTTTTATCATTTAAATTAAAAGAAATAGATCATAACAAATATATATTAAACAAATATAACAATATATTTTGACAATTATTTTATAAATTATTATATAAGTTTTATTGTGATTTGTGTGAAAATTGGCACGTGATTTCTATTTTTTCATTTTCGCGATGTAGTCTACTTTCAATTCCCATACATTAATTTTGTGATCGATGATGATTGTGTGTTAAGTTACTAATGCAAGAATCGAAAGTCAGACCGTGGGATACTCTATGTATATATATTATTATATATTTACTGAATTTTCGAATGTCTGCGAGCGCACCCATTTATTAATATTGTAATTTAGATTGTATTTCTTGCAATTATAATCGAGAATAAATTTCCCGTCAGTTTCAGCCTCATTTGTATTGTATTGATAGTATTGTCTGGCTTGTGCAAAATACATCGCCAGTATGTAAATTGTTCACGATTTTATATATCGTATATTTCGCGCGCGTGTTGCCTTTATAAATGCTGTACAAAAAAAATACGCAATTATACTTCTTATTCTTATCATAGAACATACAACATGTAAATAATATTGGTGAAGTCGAATACTATTTGTGGAATAATATTCTGGCGATTTTATTGTAATTTATGTTCTATGATGATTTGCATACAAATAAATGGAAATTTTATGGTGCAATGCAAATCAATCCCCAAAATAACTATTGAGATTCTGTTTCAATAGAATGTTTAGCCAAATTCAATCATAATAAAAATATAACGATTTGTTCCGTGACACGTACACGCATATTTAAAAAAAAAAATTCGGAAGAGTGTTTCTTCGCTCGAATATAATCGAGAACAGGTGGAGGAGAGCTTTTTTAAAACTTAATTTAGATATTTATAAAGGCAAACCCTCTCTTGATATAGTGCCATTGTGAGTTCTCGAATTCACGAATTAATAGTCAGGTACTACTTAGAGAGATATCTGAGATAGGTACATATGTAATATTGTTACTATCACTTGCGTTCGAGTTGTGAAAATATTGTAAGATTTTGGATAAAATGAATAAAGGAATTGTCTGGATCTAGCTATAATTTTTATCCAGATACATACATTAAGATTTAGAATATATAATCTCCATAATAGTGGACTAGTTATCAAACAGTATTAGTATTATCAAAACACAATGGAGCATTTAGAAGATAAGAATGGAAGAAGTAAAGCTTGATAAATTTCATAAACAAAATCCAATAGGTACATATGAAATAAAGTTTATTTCCCAAATATTTATAATCACTATGTACACGATTCTGTACAAAAGTTTAGAAAAACTAATTCACGAACACTACATACAGCAAACGCAATCACCATAATAAATATGTACAATATAAATAATTCTTACTGATCATACCTAGTTCATTCTAATCTCATTGGTATTCAATCTTTTATATTAAAAACAGCACATTATTTATAAATACAGACTTAACACAGATTGTAATATACAATCTTTCATATTTATATCTATTTATATATGTAATTGTTATCAACATAAAAATTTTCTAGACGATGAATGAAAAGGACAGTTTTTAATATTTTATGCAAGAAATATTTCTCTTGTGCATTCATTTATCCACAATAGTGGCATAAAAATTTATACAGCATATACATGAGGTATTAAAATGAGATTGACTGGCAACACATAGAGCATAATATATGATTTAAAGTCTAAATGAGATCTTATTAATGCAATATATAAGAATGTTAAATGTTTAAAATACGAGGAAAAATGCATTGCACATTAGACAATGCTATATAATTATTATATATTTTCTTTTTCTTTTTTTCGCATTTCTTGTAAAGAGAAATCATTAAAGTAGTATATGTATTGTTATATGAAGGTTTGGAGGTTCGCATTCATTTCGTTAAAAAAAAAAATAATAATATAAAATCTAGTTTTCTATTTAGGACGAATAATCTTTAGTGTGCTTATTGAATGAGGCCTTGCCTGAGAACCCGTTCTCTGTTTAATTTTAATATGCTACAAACTATTTTTCGCAATTTGTTCTTGTACAAAAAATAATATAGCTATACTCAATGAACACTTTAAGTGGGACACCCTGTATACTATTATGTGAAGAATTGCTTCTGAAAATCGTTTCTGGTTTGATTATATTATAATACAAAGAAAATATAGAACTAATCTTAAAAATTCTATATTAGCTTTCTATATATGTAGACAATCAATCATAATTAAATCAAACAAACAAATCATAGTTAATTTTTACAGAAAAATAAGAAAGATTTTCTTATTGTTTTTTCTGTTGCTAACGATATCTCATTCACAATATATCAATACACTGTTATATAATACAAATATATTAAAAAGAACATGAGCATTCTGGAAGAATACAATGAATTCATTTGTTCTTACTATCTAGCAATAAAAAATGAGAGGTTGCAAAGTTGTAACGAGTGTCCTGAGATTAATATATATCATAAAGAGAGATGTCAAAATATCGGAATATTCATAAATATTATTCATGGCACTAACATTAAAACGAAATCTTTTTAAAAATAAAAGATTATTAAGATATCGTGCATTGCATCTTTCTGCATAACTAAATATAAATAATAATAAATAATATTCTCTGCATGGAGATATTAAGTATGACAAATATATTACTCATATATATACATGTATGTCGAAGATTATTGATGACTCTCAATTTTAATTATAGCAATATTCATACACACAATGGCATCGTTTAATAAAAAGTATTTCAGTAAATATTACTGTTTCAGTAAGTATTACTGAAATATTTTCATACAAACAATTATTTAAGAACTAATATCACTTAAAGCCTCCATGTGTGTATACACACATAATATTACAATAATCAAAATCACTCTATTTGACTGTTCAAACAAACCAAGCCATTGTATGTACTGGATGATAAACTTTGCAGTCAAAATAAAATGTCTATTATTTACAATTATTGACCAAGTAATCTAGCAGGCACACATTCTCTGTAAAGAATATTGTACAGTTTGTAGTCGTGTGCTCTGTTCTACTTAAACGTAGACAATGTCGATATAGTGCAGAAAACTTGGCATTAAGAATGCATTGTACAGCCTCAATAGTGAGCTTTTTGAGGATATGTTTTTCTCAAATGTAATGTGTTAGCCATCCAATGGTGGTCCTAAGTATACCATGGACACTTCTGTGTTTCCATAAACTGCCGATACTGATGGATATAATCTCTTATCTGGTAACCCTGTTTATTAAAGCAACTTATAAAAATGTACATATTTCTGTTTTAAGAATAAATGAAAAATTCTTGAAAAAAAGTAGGAAAAGGAAATGAGACAACCATCTCAAACTGTGAATAGGAATAGAGTAGTGTAATAAATTATAACCAATCTACAGAAAAAAAGTAGAAAAATACATAGAGCCATACCTCTAAAAGCTACACCCAGGAATTCGTAATTCTTCTCAAAAGACAATGTATTATCATCACAATCTAAAATTACTCTAATTCTTTCTCCAACCTGTAAATAAAATAGAAATATATTTTAAAGAGATTTGCTTTTCTCAAATGTAATGTATATACATATTATAAAAAAGATTGATGTGCAATATAAATGTAAAAATATAATGATAATTTTACTTATTATATAAATGTGCATATATTTTATAAATTCAAATACCTGATACTTTGGAGCATTATTGAGTAAAGGATAATTTCCCTGTGGATCTCCATTATGTAACAAGTGATTATCAACAAGATTCCAACCCCAGGAATGTTCATCAGAACCAAGTAACGCTACATATCCATGACACAACAGAGGTGCTTCTTTAGTGGCTATTCCTATTACTGCTACCGTTCCTAAAGGTCCTTCCCAGATAACTTCCCAAGCATGACGTCCATGTCGGAAACCTATTTTGCCTCTACACGCATCTGTACTCTGCGCTACAGGGTTTCTGTAATGATATAGCAACTGGTGCGAGACATTTTGGATATCATACTTCTCAGATTATTTTGGTGCTTCTATAATATATATTATTATAATTTTTACTAGTTTTAGGAAATTGTATTATATATATGCTAGTAATTTATATATTATAT